TAATCTTAGACGCTCGTGATTTGTACTACCAGTCCTTGTGGAGTTGTATAAAATTCAGTTATCTCATTTTTTACTCACATCCGTATTATTATATTATATTTTATTGTTAGTTGGCTTACCTAGCGGCTGAGGTTAGGTGCTATCACGACGGTTTGGATTTTGTGTCGTGAAACCATGAGAGTGAGGTTGTCGACGAAGAATAAATGAGAGATACCTATATCCCGATTATTCAGATGGATGGGATCCCAAAGACAAGTGTCAACTTGGTAGAGGATTAAACGGGAGAGCATCTCCGTGCAAAGGATGAAGATATAAGGTGAAAGATGACATCCTTGTCTAATGCCTCTATTGGGACTGTTGAATTTTGTGGTTGCACCATTAACCAAGATTGCTATTTTTCTAGTATAGATGCAATTCATAATGAGACATTTAATGTTTAGATGGAATTTAGAGAAAGTGAGGATTCGATAGATGAAAGACCATTCGAGCCTGTCGAAGGCGTTTTCTAGGACTAGTTTCAAGATCATGTTGGCCTTAGTGCCTTTCATTTTCTTGAATTGGGAAAAAATCTGAATGGTGATAGCATTATCACAAGTGCGTCTTCCTTTGATAAAGCTTGCTTGAAAGGGTCTAACAATTTTTTTAAGGAAAGGTTGTAATCTATTTGCGATCAATTTAGTGATTAGTTTGTAGATTGTATTACAAAGACCTATTGGGCAGAAATTTTTTAAGTTGTTTACATTAGGCACTTTAGGAATTAGGCAAATATAAGTGTTGTTAGTATCTGGAGGTAAAGTTTGGGTGTGGATCACTTGGAGGCAAAAGTTAATAATGGAGGCCCCACCACATCCCAAAATATTTGGTTAAAAAAATGGATGAATACCATCGGGACCAGGTGCCTTAAACAGTTTAAAAGAGAAGATGGCATTGACTACTTCTGATGGTAATAATTGTTTATCAAGGGTTGGGGTATCTATCTTACTAAAACTTGCTGGGTCTTGCTTAATGCTAGCCCAGTCAGTTGTAACATGGTTAGTGGTGAACATGTTTTGAAAATAGTGGAAGGTGTAGTGGAGGATTGCCACTGGGTCATTAATCCAATGACCAGCATCATTTTTGAAATGAGTGATTTTGTTTCTATGATGCTTATTATAGGCCTTAATGTGAAAAAATTTGGTGTTCGTATCTCCTTCCTGAATCCATGATATCTTGGATCTGAGTTTCCAATAATCATCTTCCATTCTAAGGATGTTGTTATAATCGATTTGTACGTTTTTCTCTAATTGTTGTAGGAATGTACTCTTAGGGTAGTTGAACGATTCCTGAATTCCTTTAAGTCTAGCCAGGATTAGATTCTTTTTTCTAAATATATCCCCGAAATAATTATTTTTCCAGCTTTTGACATTACTAAGGAACTTTTTGAATCCTGGATGTAGTTGTAGTCCTTCCAACTGTCTTTAACTAGATTGATGAAGTCTAGGTGTCTACACCAGAAGGTTTCTAATCTAAAAGGCTTTTGTAGGGATGAGTTGTTCTTAGGGATAATTTCAATCAGAATAGGGTTATGATTAGAGTGAGTTTTTGGGAGGTGTGTAACAATGGCATTTGGAAATAGAGTGATCCATTCCTCATTAGCAAAGACTTTATCTAGTCTTTCCATAATAAGACCATTATTTTTCCTTCTATGGTTATACCAGGTGTACTTACAACCCTTGAAGCCTATGTCTATGAGATTGCAACTGTTAATACAGTCCCAAAGGAGCCTAGCACGATTACTATTGATACAGTTGCCACATATTTTTTTATTAACACCTAAGACATCATTAAAATCACCTCCCACAAGCCAGGGCCCTTTATGAACTGTGTGCATGTCTATTAGGTTGCTCCACATTTTATTTCTAAGGTTTTTATCAGTACTATCATAGATGGAGGTAAATAGCCAAGATTTATGAGTCGAGATTACCTCGATTGTGGCATTGATTTCTTGACTCCTACGAACAAAGCTGTGAACATTGACCACCGTATGATCCCACAGGATCAACATCCCACCTGCTTGACCTTCAACATGTATTTCAATCATGTCAAAAAATCCAAAAGGATTTAGCAAAGGTAGGTGATTATCCATCTTAGTCTCAAGAAGGGTGACCATGCTGGGACGGTGAGTGTTTACCATATCCCTAAAGTTTAATCTAAACTCATCGTTGTTTTCTCCACGGATGTTCCAGATAATGAATGTCGTGGCTCTATTCATGTTAACGTTTGGATTGTTTAGGTCCCCATTCTCCCTCACTCTCGTTGTACGCAATAGGTTCCTCTATGAAATAGTACAAGTATCATTGCATGATGGCCAACTGTTGGGTCTGCCGGAGGCCTTATGTCTATTGTGCACTTGTAGAGTGCCATCGGACAATAGAAAATTTGCCTCTGTTCTTGCAGCTCCGTGAAGAGAAAGACTTTTACTTCGTCTAGGTTTGAATCTTCAACTAGATTTTCTGGTAGTAAGCTGACTGGATCCACCATTTCCTCCATCACCTATTCCATTTGTACTGGAATTTGGTGTGATGGTGGTTGTGGTGGCCCCTAGTTGTGCATGTGTGGTATGTTGTGAATATAGTGGTTCTATGCCTGGTTTGCATGTGCATCCCAAGGTGTGAAAATAGGGTTGATGCTTGTCACTATTTCTGGGGTGAAGAAGGGAAGTTCCATCATTGGATTGAAATTCTAGATGTGGTAGGTTCCATTCCCCCCTCATACCTTGGGTAAGGTTGGCCGTCATGTTTTGAGCAATTTGTTGTAGAACATTGTTCACCTAGACATGATTCATGTAGTTGTTCATTTCTAGACGAACTCCTTCCGAAATCAGTTGGGCTAGGTAGTGTGTGTTCTGTAGCACTATCACTGTTTCCCTGCCCTCCAACATAATATTGAATGAGATGGCATAGCCCATCAGACCTAGCTCTATCCACGACAGTGGTTGATGATTTTTTGGTAATGGTGGTTGGACAAGGATCATGGGTTGGTTCTGCATTTAAGGAGGGGGAGGTGGAGGATTTGCCATAGCTTGTGCACGATTGTGTCTTGGTATTTGGATCAGGCGGTAGCGTCTTCTGATTGAGATCGGAATTCTTGGCATTTTTTGTAGTTGTGGACACAACGAGCTTGTCACACACTATAATGTTCATCATATCCTTGGTTTATGATTAAGTTTAATCTAAATCATTTGAAAATCCATACCTATATCTAACCAACAAAAAAAAAATCAACTGTTTTATCATTTAAATTTGTTTCATTACGATCACTATCAGTGAACATTGTGAAAATGAAAGATTTTGGATATGAAAATACCCTCGGCTCAAGAACAGTAAAAATGAAGCAATAGAGAAACAATATCATTTTGGATATGAAAATGGCTTCCTTAATATTAAATTAGTTATCATGGTTGAGAATAGCCTGTTTGGCCAAGTTTCCAACGCCAAAAGTACTCTTTTTTTTAAAAGTTAAAGTCAATTCCATTTTGCCATAGATTTTGGCTTTATTTTTTTAATTTTTTTTTGAAAACATTGTTTGTTTATGAAATATGATCATGTTTTCGGGAAAAAATTTCAAAAAATTTTAAGTTTCCAAAAACTTATTTAGGGGCAGTTTTTGGGTGAATTTTTTTTCCACTCAGAAAACTTCAACTTTTCTTCAAACAAAATGCATGTCCAAACACAACTTCAAAAATTCTTTTTTCAAGTTTCAATCAAATCTATGTCCAAACGCTAGAAAAAAGTGCTTTTGAGTAGAAGTAGAAATATTTTCGGAGAAGTAGAAAAAAATAGCTTCTCTCCAAAAGCAACACTTTTGAGAAAAATATATTTATAGTGTGTTTGGCCAAGCTTCTCCAAGGCCAAAAACAAAAACACTTCATTTTTCAAAGTTGAAATGTTTGCCCAAGCTTTTAGAAGAAAAAAAAAAGCGCTTTTGAGTATAAGTAGAATCACTTTTCAAAATAAGTTGATTTTAGAAGTTTGGCCAAACAAGCTATTAGAAGCGCTTTTTAAAAATTTGGCAAACATAAATTGTTTTTCACTAGAAGTACTTTTGAGAAAAATATTTTTGAAAAAAAAATCCTTCTCAAAATAAACTGATTTTACCAGCTTGGCCATACAGACTATAAGTCAACTTGACTCCTTTCCATTCCTAGCTGGCTATAAAAGAGCACCACACGCAAAAAGCTTCACAAGATGTAGCTTGCAAACTATAAATATAAGATACAGTTTTGGTTTCATTTTATCAAGTTTGTCTTTGATATTAAACATAACGTTCAACTTTAAAGCAATCTAATTTTTTTAATCCTCTTTGTGTTAAGAGGGGCAAAGTAGGAAAATCTGGTGCAACTTTTTCTGGACTATGGTGTCAATTTTTTATCCAAATTAGTTTGTCAATAAACTTTTGCCAAAGTAGAAAACTGTGATAAAATCCTTGAAATATTAGGATCTTATAAATAAATAATCTTTCTTGTACAATGTAACTTTTTGTCCTTAAGTAAGAATTTCTCTCTCTCAATCAAAAGAATATGTTAATTGAGTAGGTTGCTATTTAGGTTAATTTTCATTTTGATTACTTTTCGTTGCTCCATCAAATAGTACTGGGCCTTTACGTCTTTGGGCTATCAAGCCTAAATGATCATGAGGAATTTACTAGAATGCAACTCTTTAAATACTTATTTATATTTTTTACAACTGCTTTAACAAAATTACTTTTAGTACAACTTATTTTAAAATCATACATTTTTAATTAAATTATATACAACTTTTTAATTTCTAAAATCTCTCCTTGATATTCTCTCTCACTTAAAAATATCTTTTTCTGATTCTCACGTATCTATCACTATCAATTTCCCCCCAATTTTTCAAGTAAAAGATACTCCATGATTTCATAACCGTATATCCCCTTTCTGCGTCTATAATATATCTTGTGTAGGGGGCGATTTTCATAGAAAACATATTGCTCAGAAAATCATGGACGGTGGTAGTAGAGACATTGTTTGTATTGAAGAAATTTCAGAATCATCTTTTGAAAGAACCAAGTTGTTCTCAACCCGCCATCATCCTCATTCTAGTTATCAACAAGTTGCATCCCGAAAAAAGGAAGATAAAAGGATTTCTGGAAAAAAGCACGGCAGAGATGAATCTACGAAGAAGATTTGCAATAGTAAATCTTTAGTGTTTGACGATGATGATGATTTCTGTTTGGATTCGATACAGAAAAGGAGTCAAGTTGTAGTTGTTAATAGCGGAGTAGATGCTTCCAAAGGTTCCTCAAAGGTATTTCGTAGTAATGCCTACAATATATAGTATACTCCCAGCATATACATGCTAAATGTTCAGAGGCATTAACTATCATATTGAATTGAATATTATATCAAATATGGTTCAATATATATGGTATATTATCAATTTAGATGTTGAATCTTAATTGTTCATATTTTTCATTTTAGTAAACTACATTGCTTTTTCTATATGTGAAGGCTGAAGTCAAAGGAAAAATTATAGAAGACGAAGTGGAGGACGATTTTTATGTGGAGAATGTTCAGAAAGGAAGAAAAAATGATGTTCATTGCCGGAAAAAACATTCAAATTACGAAAAAGTTAAAGGTACTTATTTAGTATATGGTGTATATGATTTTACCTTCAATATACTTGATATTATTGCGTGATATTGTTATCGTTTCATAGATTATTATTAACATTTCATATATTATTTTCCGTCACATACATGATTATAATATAGATTGTTAGGATTTTTTACTTATGTAGAATTTTTTAATTATATTACGAGTATAATTCTGTTTGTCTGCAGCGTTGGGATCTATACGTGAAGAAGCCTGGAGATATTACATCAAAGCCTAGTGTTCACGTAAATCTTGACATTATAGAAGATTTGAAGGAATATCTATCATCTAAACAATTGGATTTGTTTAGGAACTCATGTTTTGGACATTTTCTTGAACTAAAGAAGATTAGCATACAAAACCAACTAATTCATTACTTATTGTTGAGGGAGGTATATCAGGAGAATGATGGTGAGTTGTGGGTTGAATTGAATGGCGTCAGGCTGCGTTTTGGACTGAAGGAGTTTGCATTGATGACTGGTTTAAATTGTAGTAGTGATGTTGCGAATTGTCCTGATCTTGATTTGGACAATGACTTGGTTGTGAGATGTTTTGATTGTTCTGATAAGATAGATAAAGTGTGCATTGATGAATGCTTCAAACAACGAAGATGCCTTAAAGATTTCAATTCTCTTCTTTTTACATACATTTCTGTTTTCAAATGTAAAAAGTAAGATTATTGAAAAGGCTTACTTAAGACATTGTGGAGAAGGGTCAATATAACTATTACCCTTGGGGCAAAGATGTTTTCAGAGCCACCCTGGAATCTATGAATGACACGTTGAGAGGTAATCCAAAAATGTACAGGATTGGTGGTTTCCCTTTGGCGTTCCAATTTTGGTTTTATGAATGTTGCCAACGGGTTAAACCACAAATTGCTCATCGATTGGAAGAAAGAATACCTCGTATTCTTGGATGGAAGGCTGAATCCAAACCAAGGTATAGCCTAGTTTCAAAGCACATTACGAAGACGAAAACTGATAAGGTATATTTTCCCATTGTTATTATTAATATGTATCTGATGTATACTATTAATAAATATTGTATACAATATATTATATAACATATACTTATATTACAGTATGGTATATAACTATACAATACTACATATCTGAGTGAGTATGATGCCTCTTAGTTCACATAGCTTTTTTAGAATTAATTTTTGATTAATTGCTGTACATTATTTATGATATAAATCTTGTTATCTCTTTTTTTTTTTTAGTTGTACTTGAAGAATATTTCTCCTACTGAATTGGAGAAGGAAAATATGATAAAGGATGTGTTCTTTCTCGCGAATGGGCCGGAGAAGGAGAATACAACTGATAAGGTGATGCGGAATGAGAATGTGGATGAAGATGCAACAGGGAATGAGAATGTGATTGAAGATGTGAAAGAAAAATGTAATAAGAAAGAAAATATGAACGAGCAGACGAATTGGAGGGGGAAGCAGAATGTGAAGGAGAAAGAGTTGCTGAAGGAAAGGGGGGGTATTTGATGAAACTTATATTAAAAGATTCAACACTTATGTTAGATTTTTTCTCTCCTCCACGTCATATATTTGACAAACAGATCAGAGACAGTGACGATCCTCAATTAATTGATGCGAATTTTAAAAAGCTTTTTGATGGTCAAGCTATGCTGAATAAAGAAATTGGAACGGTATGGTGCATGTTACAAATTTTCACTTTTTAATTTCATTACATTAATATATTTCATTAGACCAATCATCAGGGTTTTATATTCTATTAGATCAAAGAGTTAATACAGGACAAATTTGTCGAGCTTTTTAAAGCTCTTGAAATTAAAAACAAGAACCAAGAAAAAGAGACCAACAATTATGGTGACGAGATTGGACAAGTCAGTAAGGATGGTGATACCAATTCAACCTGTGAAAAGCATCTCCAGGACAATCAACAAGACAAAATCGATGTTCATGATCATGATAATAATGTGGACGATGACAAACAAGAATATCGTAACGTCAATGATGCTGATGAAAATATACAACACAACAATATGGATATGGTTTCTGGTATTTTTATAAATATTAGATATATATTAATATTATATTTGTATAATAATTTTTTATATTGAATATTCATATGATATACAACTAGTTATGGATTTGCTCAGATGAATTTATTGAATATTTTCCTGAACATATTATTGATTTGATTGGTTTTACTATGGTGTGGCAGCTGGAGAAATGGTATTGTACGGACAGTGGGGTGAAATAATGGAGACTCAGATGGTGGGAGTAACAAAATCTCAGATTATTAAGCCATTTATGTGGCAGATAATATCACACCTGTAAATGTGCTAAGAAAGAGACGTCTGGCAGCTGTGTTTAAGTCCCCATATGTGAATGATTTTAGTTCAGGTGGCAACACAGTTGAAGATAAGCAGAACAGTTTTGCTGCAAATGTAAAGCTTCCTTTTGAAGCATGTATTACAGAAGAAGTTAGTTTTGAAATGCTTCACGAGTTTGCCAAATGGGTTGATATTGGTCTGAAGGGAAAAAGGTAAGATACTAGTATAAATTAAGTTATTTTGTTTTATACATTAAATGTATAATCTACTAGAGAAATTGGTTTTTATATAATTTGTTTTTTTTTTTTTGTAAGGGGAACGCCATATTCGAAGAAGTTCAACAAGTTAGTCCCGATATTTGATTTTGGAATCTCACAAATCAAGGAAAAGTCATGCTTTTTTGCACTAGAATATAGTGGTGAAGCCCTTTCTAATACGGTATGTCAGTTCAATATTGTATCTCGTCGTGACAGGGTCTTGGGGATATTATCATTCCATTGAGAGGTTCATTTATGTGTATGATCCCATGAGAGGTGCATTACATGATGCTATTGTGTATAAGGAGGTTGAGACATATGCTACTGTGCTCCCATATTTCATGCATGTTGTTGATTTTTACAACAAAAGAAGTGATATTAATTTGGATGGTGGTCCATACCACGGGAAGAATAAGTTGGATCCTTTCGAAGTGATATTGGTTGATGATCTGCCATCGCAACAAGACACGTACGTTACACATATTATGACATTGATATTGTATAATTTTTATATATTATATCAGTGATACTTTATATTTGTTTTTGCAGTGACTGTGGGGTCTATATGGTATCATTTGCAGAGTATTTTATTGAATGCTATACAACTTCGTAACCGGCTTGGTGTTTTGTTATGGAACTATGGAAGAATGAAACAGACACAAAACTACGTCTCGGATTCGGAGGTGACGAAAAGAAATGAGCGTAAAGGTCTTGCAAAAAGACAGAAGTAGTATTTGGTCTAAAAGTCCATTGCTTTTGATGTTAAAATAAGAAGTATCTTAGATATGACATTGGTGACAATTTAGGATATTAATGCCTTCGTATGTGAAAAGCAGTAACAATATTTTTTTGGCAATATTGTTTACATTCAGTTGCACTTTAATTGTTCATTTTTCTTAACAACTTAAAGTACATTAGTATGTGTGACAAATTATATTCGCGACAACTGCTGCTAGAACTTTCTTTCCCCGTATGCGTATATGCTATTTGGGAGTTTTTTACAACACTAGTATTTTATCTACTACGGTCAGACCTCTTTATAACAATATCCTTATGTAACAACACTTCAACATAAAAGTCAAGTTCTTTCGGAACCAAATGTCGTATTTTGTTATAATATATGTTCTCTTTAACAGCAATTCGCTATAACATCCAAAATTATCTGAAAAAAACGAGCTTGTTATAGAGAGCTTTGACCGTACAATATTAGATCATTTTTTGTACTACGAGGATCATCCCCTACATGAGTTCCACAGTGCTTGTTTGCGATATCCTATAGGAGTGAGTATGACATCTTAGATATATACAGTTCAATTGTTACTTGTATCTACTTCATTTCATATTTTTTAAGTTTCAGTAAGGGACAAATAATATAAGGATGAACAGAAAGAAGCAAAAAACTGATAATCTCTCTCTCCTAGATTGTTGTCGACCCAACAAGCTAATTATCAAGATTAAAGTTGATTTTTGTCATTATTGTCTTGTTTAGATAATAAGATTAAAAACTTGATAACAACTTAGCTTACCCTGAATTGTCAAACCACGGAGAAAAACCAAATACAGAAATATTACTAGAATATACAATTTCTTTTTAGAAGCCTCAATTTCTTCACAGACAATCAAAAGCCTCAATCTCTTTTTGGAAGATTTCTGCATGTTTTCCTGTTATGGCCATACTGTCCACATATACCGCAAGAAACTTTGGATTTCTTGGATTGTATTTCCGCAGCTGTCTGCCATCGACACTTTTTTGGCCTTCCTGGCTGAACTTGACCAACTGGTGGTAGCACGACTTCTTCTAATATTTCTCTAGGAATGTGCCAATTGCTCTCGTTGGGTATAGGAAATACCCCTTGTTCATAGGTTTTTAACATGTAATCAATACTAAAGAATACTGAGCAATACTCGTACGCACTCATTCCTTCCTTTGTCACAACCGCCAACGCATGTGGGCACGGCATTTCATCCTTCTGAAATCTACGGCATGTGCATGTTCTTTCGTTCATATTCACCACATATCGCATACCATCTTCCAATACTGTATATAATGAATAGCTTGACGGCTTCACCTGTAATAAGTTAAAATTATGGTTGTACAAAATATATTATATATATAAAATCATAATATACGTAGGCTATATAATATATAATGCTCTGTATACTTTATATATATACTAGTAGGGTTAGCCCGGGCTTTGCCCGGGCCCAACATGAACAATGCTGTGCTTTTTGTTATATATTATGCTACTTTGTCAACGTAAGGGAATACGGGTAACATTGAGCGGATGGGTTTTCGTTTTAGGTGTTGGTAGTAATTTTTTCTTTTTCCGAGTAAATTTGTTAGTACTAAGCTAAGGTTGCATATTATTTTGTATAGGTATGCGGCTATGGTTTCACTGTTGGATTAGAGTTACGATGAAACACTTTGAAGTTTTGGAGGTATGACTGAAAACATAAATGTATATATAATGGGAGCTGCCTGGATTTACCAGATAATTCAAAGAGTTAGTTTGCGTAGCTAACAGTAAACTGTTGAAAACATAAATTCATATATAATGGGGGCTGCTTGGATTTGCCAGATAATTCAAACACAAAATGTGGAACATTGAACTGCAGTAAACAACACCAGCAAAATTTGTATTGGTAAGAGTTAGTTTGCATAGCTATTTATAGAAAATGTGAAATATTGTACAGCAGTAGACAACACAACGAAAATCTTCCTTGAATGCAAGTATTACAACTGCTATAGCCTATCAAATAACATTGAGGCGACCTTTGTTGCACTTCAAATCTGACGAGGCACCTGTACGAAAAACAAATTGGGAGTTAAGTGTAAAAGAGTAGTTGAGAATATGTAATTTGGACAAAGAGTTGTGAAGACATTGGACACAGATTTTGTTTAGCATGGCAACATAGGCTTTACCGTATGAGCAAAATCCATAAGTCTATTTTGACATTAAATAAGTTTTTTAATGGACAGAAATTGAGAGCAATAAATGTAATTGTTCATTAAGTAGGCTAAAGCATACAACAAAAAAACTTTTGAGATTTGCCTTTTTCACTTTTGGATTAGAGTTCTGATGAAACGCTTTGAAGTTTTGGAGGTATGACGAAAACATAAATGTATATATAGTGGGAGCTACTCGGGTTTACAAGATTATTTAAAGAGTTAGTTTGCGTAGGTAACAATAAACAGTTCATGAAAATCTGCGTAGTTATTCACACAAAATAGGGATAAAATAAGCAGTTTAACGGACGAAAATTGGGAGCAGTAAATGTAATTGTTCATTAAGTAGCGTACAAGCAGACAACAGAAATTCTTTTGGGATTTGGAAATGTCATCTTGCTAAATCATTTAACAAAGAGTTAGAATGCATGCTTGGATGGACAAACAATGTTGTTCACTTTCTACCTGACAAAACTTTTATTATATATGAACTTATTGTTTGTGTTTGCGGTTGTTTATTAGCTGTATTTTCTTTGATTTTGTTCTTACATACAAAGTAACTTAGTTAAAAGCTCTTAAAAAAAGTATAGTCTATCAAGTATTAATTTCTAACCTTGAGTATTTTTGCAGAGGACTTGGTCATTGTACGTTAGGTTTCTTTCTTGGGTTTTCATCTTCTGTCGATGGACTGCGATCTGCTTCTTCAGAAGTGATGGATTGTACCTTCCTTTTACTTTCCTCGCCAATAGTAGTTGATGTTAAAGATTGTGCCAGGTCGAAGACAGTCTGTTTCTGAGTGTAAAATAAAATGACAAAGGTACCAGGTGGCCTATCTGGTGTTCTGAGTAGTGATTTTTGTAAATAAATTTTGAATAGCTTGTCTAGCAGGTGCTCTCTGATATGCTCAACGGGTAACAATTGTTTCTTTGGGGAAACTTTTACCACAAAATGAGTAAAGTGAAGACTTTAAATTAATTTGAAGTGACGCAAAATGATTCTAGAGTTGTCAGTATATGCACCTGGACAATGGTAGTTTCATATATTTGGTCTGCTGTCAGTGAAAGCATTGTTTCAGCTAGTTTGTCCGACACTACTACTGTTATTGTTTCGCTCCCGTCTGTGACATCAACTTCAAATTCACATCTACATTGTTGTGTTTGTGTAATCATAAAGTTTTAGTCGTTAGATGTCGTTTGTCATAGTATGTCAATAGTAAGAGTTGCTATTACCTTGGAATCAACATTCTCTCTAGCTTGCAGTTGATACAGAGAACTTTCTTTTTGTGTTTGATTCGTGTTAGATGTTGGCATTAAGAGCATAGAAGTACGAAAAAAAAACTGAAATTCACTTGGTAATGATATTTCTCCTTCAACATAAAAACTTTGCGCCTGTTTAGAAAATAATAAAAAGATACTACTTAGTAATTACAACGTAGAATAACTCGCTATAAGGTATTTTTAATACGATATAAAAGGAAAAGAACAATCAATGCCAAGTCCGACTGATATGTTTTAATATACTCACAGTGGACTGTGAAGGAATGCTTGAAATAGAAAGTATTTGATCTTCAAAAGGTGCAACATTTAGTGTCGAAGGCGATGCTGATGTACTTTTGAGAGTGTATTCAATTAGCATCTGCTTGTTGTCCTTTGCCCCGCGATGTAATAGTAGATATTGTGATTTTGTTTTGATGTAATATGGTATGAAACAATGGAACATATTCCTGTGCAAATAAAACCTGTTTCATACCAATTCATTAACTTTGCTGCCTGCAGGTACAAAGGATCGATTAAGATTAAGGAGTTGAACCTTGTTGTTAGTCGGACGTCTACATGTCATATACTTGTTAATGAATAAAGGTAAACATTAATGTACATGTGTGATGTAAAGTAAGTTGTGAATACCTTGTTTAAAGTTAGAAACAACTATTCATTTTGCAACAATGACATGGTATCTATGTAGCTGCTGCAGTAGTTCAGTTCCATCTTTGTCAGCCAATTCTCCCCATATAGTAAACAGAAAAGGATTTCAGCCAATTCTCCCCATATAGTAAACAGAAAAGGATTTTTCCTATGAAATTAAGGATGCTGTGTTAAATACATATTTTGCTGTTAGAGGTAGTTAAAGTGTGTATTACTTGTCGTCTATAAGAATAGCCTCTTGAAATCTTCTGTTTTCGCTGCCTTGATATTTCATGGTACCGCAATTTGCCACAACTGCCACCAGGTCTGCTTTAGAAAAGCATGCGTGTATAAAAGTAGGATGCAGTTATTTAAATTTGATAATGAAGAAGCACAAATATTTTTACAACGGAAAATAAAATAGTATAAAGNAATATTTTTACAGCGGAAAATAAAATAGTATAAAGTCGTGTTTTTTACCGAATTCATCTCCTGGAATCTGTTTCTCGATATCGGCAAAGGACACCATGTTTAATCTTGAAGGCAACGGTAACATTGATTCTTCTTCATTGTTATCTATAACTTCTTCGACAATACTGAAGGTATCGAGGACCCATTCGAAGTTGTGCATGGGTATTGCAAAACGTGACGGTTCCCTAACTTTAGCTGCCGGGATGAGGTATGTGTGGAAATGTTTGAAAAGGTTGTCATAATGTGCGACTTCAGGACCATATGTTATGATGCAGATTTGGTCTTCCTGCAATTTGTTAACATCTAAGATGGAGAAAGTGTTTACAGATATGGTAGAAGCTTTACTATGTACTTGAGATGTTTGTGAACTTACGTTTTCGTCCTGGACGATGGTTGTTTGAAAGTTCACCCGGTGATCTCTGCTAATTTTTGGGCGGATTTTGTCAACAACTTGTATTTTACAAGTCCAATCTCTAGTAAATGGCGTGATTTCATGGATGGTATATCGATGCTTCATCTTTTGAGTATCTTGCAACCTGTGAAGAATGAAAATGTAGGACAAAGTAATTGACCCTGAGGAATTATATGAAGAAAACAATTGAAACAACTCAATGTTAGACATGACGGTAGGGGTAATTATGTGCTCTGTTGAGCTCATAGCTTGTCGATTTAGTTTGGATGGTTTATTCTGTCGGAAAGTTATATTGGGTAATCTCATGTGTGAACATAAATGTAAAAAGTAGGGTGCTTTGGTGTAAAAAAATCCATATAGGTGATATTATTTAGTTGAGAATAAATTTTAGTCAATTATGATATTTCCCACGAGTCTTCTCAATAAAAATGATTTTGGTCATACCAAATACACCTAATTAAGTATAAATATCAAAATATTATCAGATAATAGTTGAGTTAATTCGATTGGACATGTAGTCACTAAACCCGCTATATGTCCCGTGATATTCTTGTCCTAATGATAATTATTAGGTATAATTATTTTGGATACATCTATATTTTGAAAGGTTTTACAAAATTACTTTGTCGAATAGAGTGAAGCTCCTTTTTAATTTGAATTGTTTACACATTTTTTATTTTGGAAAAAACTCAGAAGACCCGAAAAAACTTAAACCACTCCATATTCTTTCTGGGCGTAAGAGTTCAGGAAGAACCATGAAAATGAATTATTAATAGCAAAAATCCAACACGTATGAAAACCAATTGGCGGAATATCGAATCGTCACCGGCTATGATGTACCTAGACTCAAATTACCAGCCCTTCCTTCCTATGGGAAGTAACAAATTAACCAAAACATAATAATGAAAGTCTAATCAAAGTCCTGATTCGTTGAAGAGTTTTCTCAAACACTTACAGAGCCAAATGAAACAGAAAAACACAAGATGAGAACAAGGAAACCCATCAGAGAACAGTAGATAAATGAAATAGAAAAATATAAGATGAAAACAAGGAAACCCGGCAGAAAACTATGATCAAAATGAAAAATCCAAACGAATTATAGAAAATTGCAAGATAATTATGAAATACAATACCTGAAAACAGTAGTAGCATAACCTTCTGGCAACCTGAAAAGAAGTTAGTTCCTCCTTTTCTATGTTACTGCCCGCATATACCCTGATGGTAATCGTGATTCCCGCTTGTTCTTGGTTTTGTCCTCTAATTTCAAGTGGTAAAATCGAGCGGTGAAATAAAGTTCAACCTTGTAGAAGAAAAACACATGAATAATTACAGTGTAGATGAAAAGTGAAATACAGCGAAGGAAGAAGAGAAGCAGAAGATTATTTAGAGAGCCCAACTATGTGCTGTCACTGTTAAACAAAATAATGCCACGCCGTGCATAAGTGTCAATAAAATTTACAGGTGTTGGTCTTGATTTGAATGTGTAAGCTAAAATTTAGCTTCAAATGACTGAGGTGTCACCGTAGTTAGTGCATTAAGAAACCATAGTGAACAATTAGATCATCTGATGGTGGCTTTACATTATATTATAATATAGATAGGTAACTGTTGATGCAAATCAAAAGCTGGTTACATAACGCAGTGAAAACAGAACGGTACAGTGAAGGCAGTAAAATATTTATGAAGGAACTACTGAAAGATTTTCTTTTGGCTAGTCAAATTGTTTCCTTTTATTGCGCCTGGGTCCAAGCATTGAGTTACATATTATTTTTCAAGTTGTGATTTGGGTTATTTGAATTATGTAGAAACAACTCAAAAATATATATTTTTCAAATAAAATTATATATCAGTAGATATTAATTAATAAGCACAACATGAAATAATTTTTCAAATCTCGAGGTAGATAATATGTTTTCTTTTTAAATATTTATATCAATTCAACCCCTTGATTTTACTACTTGCATTTTATTTTGCAGTCAATGTAAAAATAGTTATTTTCTTCAATATCACAACAAAAATAAATGTGAGCAGTAAATATGATGGTTTGAACATGTAAACCAAATTTATTTATTGATATTTTATAAATGGATATGTAAACGAACTAACAGAGAGCGCGTAATGATGATTAATTTTTTTCGCTATTTGAATTACATGTTTTCAACTACAATTCAATTAAATCAACTACAATAATTGGTACTTGATTTTATTTATTCTTCACCCCGAATGTATTTTTATTACATTTGGGAAGAAGTCATTCACAAAAAAGTATAGAGTTTTTTTTTCATGACCTTTCTAAGGGTACAAATATAATTTTGTAACGTTTTCCAATTTTTTTTGTGTTTTTACTATGAAAGCGCTGCCGAAAATTAGAAAGTTTTCTTTAGATTCTTAAAATGAAACAGTTTGACAGGTTTTTTCTTCTTAACTTTTGACATGTTTGAATTTTTTCCCGTCAGAATAGTAGATCAATGGTACTTTTATAAGTTAAATTGTTTAAACGTTAGCAAATTTAATTTACTTTTGACGGGTTCTCAACTAAATATTTTTGAGTAAAGTTAATAACAAGTTAACCTACTTTTAACGAAGACAATAGATATAATAGTGTATCCATATAATCCAGTTAAAATAAGTTATAATAATTTTATTTTATTAAAGTTTCCTATTTAGTTTTATAGAGTAGCGTAATATGGAGTTCACTAATTGTGGTCCCCATGTTTAGTACAAAATGCGGCTTGAAATAACAGAAAGGACAACGATAACCTTGTGAAAGCAAGCAAGGATGTTGAGCTAGATGAATATTTTAGGTAATAAACTGATATTTCATGATTTTTCCGATAAAGGAAAACAAACATAATGAATCGAAGATAATCTGAAACGTACAAAGTCGATATTTTCCCTTCAGTGGGAGCTTTTATTTGTTGATGGAGGTTGATTCCACGATTAGCAACACTCGATGCTGGAAGAGCTAGTTCATTCGCTAGCCAAACCTTCACAGGTTCTGGGTCAACTGCAGCAAAGATGAATTTGCAACAATAGTAAGAAAAGACATTGAATGACTCTAAAAATATATAGGACTTCCATGACAACTATTTCCTCGGGTAAAGAAGTGAACAATTGCTTTTCACATGGTTTGTCCGTGTAATGTAGCTTAATAATAAACCACGAAGATAATCCTGAATCAACTGAAATACATCAGAAGAATATAAATGAGAAAACTGTGGTAGCAGTAGCGAAAAAGGAAATAACAGCAGGACACAACCAACTAACATATCTAGACATCAGAGATAATGTAAATCATTTTTTCACAGAAAATCCTATTGTACCGACAATTGGAGTTATGATTGTTTACACGAAAAACACATTGAACCCCTTAAACAACAATAAGTTACTTGGGATCTAAACTTATTTGACATAATTTCTATGACTGAACAAAAGAAAGAACTGGAGTAACAAATATTTTCAGCATCGAAAATTCGAGCAGCGACAATTTTCCCTTATTCAGGTTACATTCACAAAGATGTCTCACAAAATGATATATGTAGACACATTCAAATTTATGTGATATTTGTTACCTCAATCTAATATAAGACTTTGTGGTGTTCATCAATTTTCTGCGTACAAGTTGGGGTCTTCATCCAATCTATGGTTGCAAGTTTGACGATTCAAAAAATGTGTTACCTTTAAAGTATATCTACCGTCAGACTGTCCTTGAAGGTTACATCATAAGCTTTTCAGAGGGGCTTCCTGCATCATGAAGAGAGCAAGAATACATTCAGTCCTTACAAACGGGAAACCTATGATACTGAAAAAGAAGTCACACGACTATAAAAAATCCACGTCAAACAAAGGGTAAAGCAACAGTCAAAAAAAGAGCAAAACAAAGATAATTTTTTTTCTAAGTAGCTTAGTTGATAAATTTCTCCATCAAGTAACCCAGAAAGAAGCCTGGCTAGACGAAACATTGAAAAACAACTTTGTACCTAGAGGAGAAGAAATATATGAGAATGACAACAAGTTTATAGAGAAAAGCATACAGTAGCTATCAAATAATGTCGCATAATGGAAGCATGTTTGGAGAGAAAAAGAGACAGTAACTATCTAATAATGTCCCATTCTCATTTTAATCTGGTTTAATAATCATGTCCTTGCTTCAATATTAAAGATCGACATTTATATAATATATATTCTTAGATAAGAAGCTAAATATCAGCAATGCATACGAAGTCAAGTCAATCATGATGCTTCATAGAGATTTCAAGCGATGGACATGAAGGTTTGGTGCTACCAGTTAGTTGGTTATGATAAAACCAAAAAGAAGTAATATAAAAACTGTATGGTCTATGCAGCATCCTAACTTTGGAGTTCTGTAGACACAAATTTTAGCATACTATTATCCTATTGTAGTTTTTCAAATGTTAATTTATGTGGTGGACGTACATTTTGAGGCCCACGGAGAAGCAACTCAAATATATAGAAATTTCTGCATAATCATATATGCATATCAGGCTTTTTGAGCAATATTTTTATAATGCACAGTCCTTAGTCATGTTCAACAGTTGAAGGATTCTCATTGGAAGGTCATGCAAGCTGGACAATATTTTTAATCAAAATTAAATCGCTCAACTCTGTTGTACGAAGAACTAATAATATAAATATTCATCTTACAGAAATGAAGGCTACCAAGGAAAACCTAAGGGTAAAAAATAAAACACATTATCCTTTTAGAACAGCAGAAACAGAGCTAGACAACTTGTATGGTACATGAAGGTCCCAAATATTCAAGAGTTGATTTGGGTATAAGATCTATATATGTACTTCCATGAATAGGCCGAAGGGTTGTCACATTTGTACTACATAAATGGTTAGTCATTCATTTATGTAGATAATAGAAATAAACTTAAGGTCCGGAGTACCTTACAATGAAACATCTTCAAATGCCAAATGGCAAGCAAAGTCAATGTAGATTGAGGGCTGAGAATTTTTAACACAGTAATCTTTTCAAAAGCAGAATTCGCAGTATGGCCTGAGAATTTAAGCTGTAGAATTTCATTACTATATCTATCTTTTGAGTATCTATGAACTTCGTTCTGTTTTCATATGTATGATGATATATAACCTCTTGTAAAGTTCGAAACATTAAGATTATGAGAGAAAAATCTATTAACTACTGCAGCTTCTTTCAGGAACAAACAGTTAATCACCGAAACTGTAAAAGTCAATTCATAATAACAAAAATGAAACACATTAGAAAACCAAAAAGGCAAATATGAAATCGATATAGTATGAACAAAAGGCAGTCCAAAAGTTATTAAAGCAAATCATGGCAGCAAGAAAGTCGAAGAAGTAGAGCAAATCAAAGAAAGATATAGAAGAGAAAGCGAGCTGAATTGAATACCATGGGAAAGAACTTTAAAATATGTCACAGCTCACTGTTTACCCAGAAGCAGAATTATCAGCATGTGCTCCTCCAAAACCACCTATAATAACTATATTTACATGATGAGAAGTTTAAAAAAAAAAGGCACATCGAACATAACTTCAGATTTTACTTAACCGAAAAGAGAATTACTGTTTTTTTTGTCTCTACTCAAAAGTAAAAAATACCATCTTACATAAACACAATTTATACCAAGGAATATGCATATCAAGTGAAATTGCTCGCATATAATTTTCTGGTAATGCCATCGGGCAAAACTGAAAAAGGTAGATAGAGATATCTCCTTGTGAAAAGGACTGAACTATTATTTGTTCTTTTATGTTAGCATGAAGATCAGAATGGTTTGTTGATCTTCCTGGGCTTCGCTGACATTAGGCAGTCCGGCTGTCTACTGTGCGTAAATGAACCCAACAGTTATTACCAGAATTTAGGAAAATAAGGATTAGTCAAGTAACTTGTATTGTTCCAACTATAGAATGATAAGAACAGAAGAAAATATGGCTATCTGATGTAAAAATCAGAGACAATTGTTTTGCAGTGTAGAACACATTCACTTACCATTAAGTGAAAGTGAATCCAACACATAGGAAAGGTTGTTAATGATCAAGATGTCATAATATGCGGAAACCATATAACAAGAAGAATATAGTAAGCAATAAAATAAACTATAATAACAGTGAAATAAATTAGCCATTGACATAACTTTAGGAATCAGTTTGTGATGAAAACATCTGTAGATCATGAAGCACACTACCTGCAAGTGTCACAATTAGCTCAACAGTATTTTGCATTATAGACGTAGCTGAACACTAAAATAATCATATTGACAAAAGGTTATATAAAAGAGTTCTGCAGGGCTACTATAATACCTCCAAATACTTTTAGCAAAATAACATGTCCAGCAGATGTCATTCACAGTCAGTAGCATATGTATAGTAGCAGACACATCTTGATACTAGCTGGTGTGTAAAATTGAAAACTCTATGGTTAGTAGGACGATTGATTGTTTCTTAAAGTTCTTCATATGTAGTCTTCATCAAAAAAAAGTTTTTCATATATAGTAAGAAACAACGTTTAAAAGAAATAATATTTGTGCCAAATCTTTTTGTTAATGAAAAATGCAGTTTTCCTTGGTGTCATTATTTCCTAGGTAGAAGCTTACGTGAACTTGCCAGAATAATCCACCTAAGTGTAAAGTGCAAAGTGGAAAGAAAAGGAAGAAGAAGAAGAAGAAGGAGAAGAACCTTAAGGATGATACAACTTTATTAACAGGAAGATTTTCCAGTTGTCAAAAGAATTACATGTGTTCGGTTAGAAAACAGGGGAATTATTTCGCAGAAGGTAATCACCACATGAGATGGAGTAATAATTTTCATCATATCTATTTGAAAAGTGATGAAGAAGGTGTAAAATCAAGTATGTACAAATAATCAATAACAATGAAAGGACTGTGGAACAACAAAAAAAAAAAAGAGAAAAGAAATTGGATCTAAAGGGGAAGATAAAACTCAATGAGTGCAAACTAAATCAGAAAAGAAAGTGAACAAATTAATGATAGCACACTGAACTATCCACATATACACTTAAACAAACACATATAACCAGTGATAAAATTTCAGCATGCAAAATTGTGTTTCAATGTGCCACTGGAATGTATACTCCAAATGAGTAAGGGAAGAAGCTCCCAATCATCAACGGTCTGCCAAAACATGAAGGAACGAAGCTCCTAACACCAATTGAATAGGAGGAATACATCAATGGCATGAATGTTCCTAGAAAAATCATCAACGTGCATGATCTATGCAATCGTGAGTGTGCGTCCATATTTTAATATTTATAGATCCATTTTGAATTACATCGTGAGTGCAATGTAACGAGAATGTTCTTCTCATCACGTGGATAAGTTATTGAGTATCCATTCAGAAGATTAAGTTGTATCAATTTTTAAGCCTCAATGGTTTGTTGAAGATGCTATTCGTATTCCTGTATAAATCACATTATCAAAAGTAACAAACTTTTGCAGAAGACACTACTAAATTCTACCATGCTTATACACCAAACAGAGTAGCATCAGTTAAATGTGAATGAAGGTATTGACGCAGTCACACAACCAATAATCTAAAGAATTTATTTGGGTTAATATACATATTCACCCTATAATCCAAAGAATTACATAAATGACCGGCCAACAATATATGATATTTCGCAAGTTCGCCCATATTTTTTTTATACATATATATGTAAAGATTATATAGATAGAAGTATTAGTCCATATTGTTTCCTAGATATTCTTATGTTTAAATCTGAATAAAACTTCCACATTTCATGGTTTCTAGTTGTTCCTTCATTTATTTTGTATGTTTGTGATCTTTGCAGCATGTTGTCGATGCATTTGATTCATGGTTATTTGTAGTTATCTCATCCAATAAACTTCAGTTCAATAAAGGTATTCTCTCGTGCAACATTTCATGATAGAACCATGTGCCTAAGAGGGCGAGGACCTTAATAGCCATAATTCTTCACCCGGTTCTACCTCTACCTTTGGTCGAAATATTTATTATTGTGGGCAGTCTAGTTGTAGTCTTCTCCTAAAGTTGCTAAATTGCTCGACGCAAATAACTATAGTACTATACCTACTGTAGAAAACTTCACATTTCAAAGCACCTAATCCATTTATCATAAACAATATTCCATCCTTTAAGATTGAGAAATAAACTACTCAAAGAAAAATCAAGATCTTGCTAACGTGGCTACTACACTACTCTAAAGAACACCTAATAAGTAAAGAGAAACCACATACTGGAAGCCTCCTGTTATTCTGTAGGATGAGAACAAGTGCCCCAATATTTGTGACTGAGATATAAACTCAGACCGGGCTCCAAAAAAAGAGTGAGACACAAGATATTGAAGTTATAATATAACTATTTTTCTTCCGTTTGAACTTTTCTTTTGTATTCAAACAAACACACACAAGGAAATCGTTATTTTTCTTGTGTTTCCTTTATTTTATCTTTTCTAAAACTCAACTGCTCATTGCTCTTTTGGTGTTCAAAAGGATACATAAGAAGATATAGCAGTAAAGGGCGAGCGAGTCACTAAGCAATTGCTTGTATGACAGGAATTAAAAAGGAACACACACTGATTCGATTACATTTTCTCCCTCTTTTTGTATGGCAGAGTTTATTTTTGCTTTCTTGTATACTAATCAAGCAATCAACTACTCAATTCCGAACTGATTGGATTAGTAATTATTTCATTCTAATAGTGAATTCATATAAATAGCTATTTGAATCTAACTATCGCAAGCGCAAAGAAAATGCAATTTTTTAACATGCTTCTAGGTTAACATCCTACCGATTGTACTGCAGACAATTCCCAGCACAGTGCATCGCTAACGTCTTCTTAAGTTGATTTTTTAGTGTCAATAAATTGGAAAGCTGGTTTTATTTAACCACCAATTTGATAGTTTATACAGGCAAAATTTACTTATAAAAATGTATGCAAAAACAATCTATGCATTATGGAAATAGCAAAAGAATCCATCTCAAATACACACAGGCCATCAGCCTTTGAGAAATATGTTAAAGCCTCAAATACCCTAATTATCGCCAAATAAACTGACAGAAAATAATTGAAACAACCTCAACGCACAAGTGAGAAAACGAGAAGCACATAAGCTAATAATTGGAAAATTAATTGACAGAGAACAAAGATAACAAATTCAACATTCACCTAAGATGAAGAGGTCAGAGATCGAATAAAGAAACAAAGGTATTTGATGATATATACGATCAGCAAAAAATATAGTAGAAGCGAGAAGAAAAATATAGCAAACAGTTAGTAATTCAAGTGAAGCGGTCTCCTCGTCCTTGCTAAGTCAACTAATAAGTTTGATCGTTCAAGTATTTTTTCAAAACAATAGAGAAGATAGAAATATGCATAAGAAATTTAACAAATATGGTAATTCATTGAAGAATTTTCTCAAACACCTAGAGAACTTTAATAGAAATGGTATTTGTTCAAGAATTGTCTCAAATATTCCTGAAGACAAATACAGATAAAGATGAATCAAGAGATGGTAGAAGGGATACCCAACAGAAAATACGATTGACGGAATAAATCAAGAGATGGTAGAAGGGATACCCAACAGAAAATACGATTGACGGAATAAATCAAGAGATGGTAGAAGGGATACTCACCATAAAATACCATTGATTGACGGAAGAAAACATACTGCAATACAAACTTTTGCTACTGAGACAATGCCTCACGTGCGCACTATATTGTCCACCTCAATATTTTTGTTCTGTAAATAAAGAATCGTAAAAAGAAATAAGTTCGAGTAAAGGCGCATACAATGGGAAATGTTTTTTGTAATAAAGTAACTCGGAAGAACCATAAAACAGATATACCTTAATGATTTTGGAAGATCCAATATATGCTGCTTTACTAATCATCCTTCATTCTAGAATTGTAAAGCATAGATAGACAGTAAACCCTCCTCCTTTTTTCGGGCTTGGGACCGGCTGTGGTGCAGTAGTGTAACCGAAACACAGGCGGAGTTAAAAACTTGGTTTTTTCATTGTTGACCTAAAGATCATTAGGTCTCGTATGAGAAAGCTTTCTGAATAATTTCGTCATAAATCACATTATATGTTGAATGATCATCAGTACTATCCGTTGTAGATGGTCGAATCAGTATTTTAACACAGTTTGAACTTTTCGCTCTTGATAAAGCAACATAAAGCTGACCATGAGAGAAAATAGGTTCACGTAAGTAAATTCCAACAAAATCTAATGTTTGACCTTGATCTTTGTTTATGGTCATAGCAAAGCACAACCGTAGGGGAAATTGTGTTCTCTTAAATTGAATAGGTATTTTTTCATCTTGTGATGTTAACAATGGTATTCTCAGAATAAATAAATGTGTATTTTTGAAATCACCACTTTCAATTTTAGCACTTATGACATGTGTTCTAAAGTCACAGCATGTTAACCGTGTACCGGTGCATAAACCTTCGCAAGGATTTAGATTTCGTAATAATATAACAGGACAATTTTCCTTTAAAGTTAACTTATAAGGCGGTAAACCAGGAGGTTCTAAACTATGTAGAAAATCTTTAAACTGGCTTTGATCGTTCGGGTCAATAGTTTCATCTACTGCAACAAATATTTTAGACCTTTGTTGGAATTTAGTGATCAACATATTATTTATTTCGTTTACAAAGTCATTCTTCATTGTTAAAATAGCACGAGAGGTTATCATAGATGAATCAGGAGAAAATGCATGCAAATCAGGATACGTTACACTAAACAATGCATCTAAGAATTCTTCTTCAGTCGTAAAAGGAATAACAAAAGAATCAGGAATCTCTATTTTGTCTTCACAGTTAGTTCTTTCTGTTCCATTTCCAATTCAGAGTAAATATTCACAAAAAGAAGGATCTGTTCTTGCGCGCATATTTTCAGATAGGCATAATTTCTCAAGCTTATTCCAAATTTCAGAATACAATAAGCTTTCATAAATAAAATCTTTTCTTTTTCCATTTCGAACAACTGGTAGAGTTTGTCTAAAGTCACCTCCAAATACGACAACTTTACCACCAAACATTGTATCGACATCCATAATATCTCTTAGAAGTGCATCAAGAGCTTCAATCATATTCTTTTTTGCCACTGATGCCTCATCCCATACAATTAATTTCGCATCTCTAATTAGACATGCCAGCGAACTCTGTTTACTAATGTTGCAACGAAAATTATCATCTATATCAATAGACATTTTGAACCGTGAGTGAGCAGTCCATCCTCCTAGAAGGATAGAAGCTGCCACACTAGAAGTTGCAGTTGCTAAAGCTATAAATCCTTGAGACCGGATTGTTGCTAATAATGCACGGTATAAAAAAGTTTTACCTGTTCCTCCAGGACCATCGACGAAGAATGTTCCTTGTTTTTCAGAAAATACTCTATCAATTATTGTATTATATGAGCGTAATTGTTGAACATTCAATCTCTTCGGTAAAAGTAAATCTTGTTCACTAACAATTATATTTCTTTCAAAATGAATATCCTTTGCATCCTTTGCAGTTTCGGAAGCTCTAATATTCTTTGGAATAAGCTTATACTCATTTATGTCATATCCCATAGAGTGCAAGATATCATTGATATGGCTTAAAACCTTATGTCGAACACATTTTTCTTCAAAATCAGAGAAATGTTTAAAGTCTTCGGACATTGAATCTTCAAACATTTCCCATAATTTTTTTGGATCAGCAGGATTGCAATATACTAACAGTGTGGCAACTAAACGTCTCAAGCTATATGGCATTTGATAGCTTACAGCCTCTAACATACATTCAATTAGACTATTGCTACAGTATAATAATCCTCTTTTTTATGCTGATTCTCTAAATGTACTACAGGGTACCTCGCTAACAGTGCGAAGATTTTCATATGATTTAGGTCCTCTCACGTTCATCAATAATAACCTGAGATAATACCTCTCTTCTTCTATTGGATGACATGTTACAACACGTCCAATTACGTTACGTTTTTGCCAACGTGTCCACGTTCTATATGCCGGAGACCATACAAAATGTTCTGGAAATTCCTTATACAATAATTGCATAGCTATAGCATGTTCATTACTTCTATTCATAGCAAACAATTCAGTCAACATTATTTTTCTAATCATCGGATTATTTAAAATTCGATTCACAGTTTCACTACTTTTAAAAGAAATAAATTGTTGCCCTTCTAAATGTAATTGAAGATGACAAACAGTCAGAGTCATTTCACTAATAGGAAAACCAAATAAACGCCATGCCGCTTCTGGGGGTGTTACCTATCTAGCAGATCGATATTCTTTTATTTCATCTATTTCTTTATTGTTATGTATACAGAAAGCAATTTTATCATGTCCCTTGCAAATGTATTGGTAAATATATTTTACAACTTTAATATCAGAACAAACTTCAATATTCATATGACAATCAAACTTACAAAGTAAGTAAGGATTGTATGGGACAACCCATGAATTGTCCAAATATTATTCCCTTATATGTACAAGTTTACCTGTGCTTCGTCTTCTATAAATTGGATACAAATTCTTTCCTTTTGATGTTTGCTCAGCAAAATCTTTTGGATAATTAAATTTACAAAGCCCTCTTTTTCCCATACATGAATTTGTAGGATTTAAATCACTACACGGTCCGTGCATCATATGCTGAAGCACACGTGAATAAAGGTGCTCTTCAGTATTACAATCAGGCAACTCCGCACAAACAAACTTATCATAAGATTCAGGTGCTAATAATTTGTATTCACCAGTAAGTATGATAATAAAATGAGCATGTGGAAGATCACGTTTTTGAAATTCTATAGTATACATAAAAGTAGCAACTTTTCCAAAGATTTGTTTTTCAAGATATCTGCTTTTAATTCTTTTACTTTTGCTCTGAATACTCGTGATATTAAATCAGGTCTATTTTGAGTTTCATCCGTTGATAACAAGTGTTGTTTTATTTCTGACCAAGATGGATTACATGTCATAGTTAAAAAAATATCAGGTTTTCCAAATCGTTGCACTAATGCAATATCATCCATATACCGTCGATGCATATCCCTTGGCCCTCCTATGAAAGTAACAGGGAGGAATGTTTTCTTGCCAATCTTGGAAGCTTCTGTTTCACCAAGTTTTAAAAAATCAATAAGTCCTTGTAGCACTAGCACATCCATTCGAAACAAATCTTGATTAAAAAAATAAAAATCTAATCTTTGTGTTTCTAGCTTTATGAACACATCTACTATGAATTGTTGAAATAATCTTCCACAATGTAGGACCTCATTTTTTTCATCTGAAATTTGTAACAATAATACTCACGATAAGAAACTGTCTCTCTTTTTCGTTTTCCTTTTTTCATAGTTTGAGCTTCCATATCAAGAAATCCATCAATGGAACACATGTTCTTTACACTCGGTAATTTTTCATTTTTACAATAACGTTGATCTGTTCATACAATTTTTTTTATACCACAATGCCACCCGTTTTGACCGTATGGAAATAATAACGGATATTGTAATGCATCATAACATCCATAATAATAGTTTACTGATTGAGTCTTGTCACTATGTGTGTAAATACGATATGAGGCGTAGAAACAATATTGGCAGCATTATCATGTACCCATATTTCAGCTACCTCTGTTGTAGTTGGTAGATTATATACATGTTGATCTGACTTTGGTTCACATTTAAGCGCGATATAGCAATCAGATAGTTTCGGAACGTTTGTCAAGGATTTTAAGAAAATGGAATATGGATTAATTGAGAGCACATGCATAAGCCTTTTTACAATTGATTCATTAATATTTCTCGAACAAGCCATTCTGTTAGCCAGTTCATTTTCGTTATCATAAAAGTATAATTGCATATTCTTTCCTTTTTTATCGAAAGGAAGTAAATCAGGTATAAAATGATACATTTGTCCCTGAACTCGAAACATATATATACCATGATATCTCCTCGCTAAATCTTTATCATTGGTTACACCAAGTGACGTAAAGACAAACATATTGTTGTATGTTCTAATGTAGGTTCGAAAGTGCTTAGCTTCTTTAGTGTTACCTGTGTACAAGTCTGATAATTCATTAGGTAGGTCATATGAAACTAACTTAACTGACCCGCTGCCATAGCAAAATCCAGGGGGTTCATATTGAAACCTTTTTGCATTGTAAAATTTACAGTTTGGAACATCTTTTAATCGTGCATAATCCACATGTTTGTCATTATTTTTCTTATGGATTAATTTGCTGAAGGTATGACCTGTATGTTGTAAGTATTGTTAAAAATAAAGACATGGAAAATATTCTACTAATGAATAGTGTTACTCTAGCGTCAAAGAAATACTAACCTTTGCCTGTGGCAGCGGGGAAGAAATTTTGTTGTCCCTTAGATGCACGCGATGTTGATCCTGGGGCACAACTTCTCACAATTTAGATGTACACCTAAGCCGTGATGTTCTAAGAAACATGTTCATAGACGTTCTAGGTTTACCTCTTTCAAAAACAGAAAACGGATGAGCGACATTGTTTCCCTTATCAAAAGAACTTGAGAAAGTATTAACATCGTGGTTGCTGCCAACTGCAACAAATATGAAACACATTTTACATTTAATATATTCAAGCAAACATGGTATAGCCTGCTCTGCTTATAAAATAATTACTTAGTAAAATATGAATATTTATCTGTCTGCTGCTACACTAACATAACATAAATAAAAAGCAATAATTCAGTCTAACCTTGGACGTCGGCAGAAGAAGGCTCTCTTATGATAAGTGCAGTATGTTTCCGAATCATAAGGTGACATTGATACATTACTTTTTCATCTGGATCAACTGCCGATTTTATGGAACTATTCCATTTTTGCCGTTCAAGTTCTTTGGTGCGGCGTTGTAGTAACATTGCCTCTTTTTTAGTAGGCAATATTTGTCCATAAATATTACGTCTTCTTACATTCTTGTCATAGTTTGTATGTTCTGCATATGGCCGTTTGTTTCTTTGGCCGGAATACATTTTTTCACAAGCTTATTAACGCAAGATAACTGCATTTATAACAATCAAACCAAAAAATGCGTCAGTAGACCCTAAGTAACACATTTTATTGTTCATTCTACTGCTAAATAATAGAAATGTAATAACCCGTTGGGGTTCAGTCTTTTAAAGAGAAATCCTTTAAAGAAAGTAGAATAACAGGGGGGAAAAATGAAGAGGACTTAGAATTCACAGAAGAAATCCAAAATAAATAAATTAATAAAAACAGACAACAAATCAGAAACCAACCTCACTATGTTTTCACTTTTCTGAAACGAATCTTAAGACTAAAATGAAGAAAATATTGCTAATCAAGCCAAAACCCCAAAGATCTGATATTTTTGCAGAAGAAGAAAAAGTAGAACAGAAAGCATAAATAAAATGAAATACTGGACTAATTGGAATAAACCTGCTCTTTGTGGTATATGAGAATCGGAAAAGGCCAAGTGCTCTAATTTCGTTGAATTATTAGGTGAAGTCGGCTAAATTTTGGGGCAATTGATGATGTCCTCTTTCCTTCCTTCGGTAATTTTTTGTTATTGCAAACAGATGTGGAGTAAGTTGTGTTGAATGGAGGTTTTAGGTTTGAAGAATTGGGAGTCCACGCATTGGCTAATGGCAGAAAGAGTCATCACTTGAGCTGTAAATTAATGAAATTACAAACATACCCTAGACAAAGTAAAATATTCCAGGGAACNTATATATAAAACCTTCTACAAGTATACAAGAGACGCATATTACCGTCATCCTATGAGATTTGATCATGTTTTTTTGCAGAATATCTTCATATTTCTCACTCAGCTTTGTGAAGGTATACATGACAGTTTTATTGTTTACATGATTCCAATCACGAATCAAGTTCGCCATGTATTCCACCAAAGGACGTATTGGTTAGTCTCTTGCACTTTTATTTGCTGCATTTATCGATTCTGCAATGTTAGAAGTCATAGTTGTTGTTCTATTGACTGTTGAATGCGCTATTGACCATCTATCATATCCGATTTTTAGTAAATATGGTCTAACCCTCTTGTCAAGGTCATCAATTTCACTCATATGATGCTCAAACTCTTCAATCGTCAATGCATTCGTAGCTGCAAAAAATAGATCCTTCATAAGCAGTTGATTCTTCTTGAACTTCACTTTTATGTTGTTCCACAAGTGGAAAATGCATACACAGTGAGGCACAGTTGGATCCACTGTTGAAGTTGCCTTTTCTATGCTTTCATGTCTGTTAGATACTATGCATATTCCTTCTCTTACACCGTATGTCTCTCTGAATCTTTCGAAGAAACCATTCTCAAGATGCATCGTTCTCTGGATCATCAATAGAGTATGCAAGCGGGAAAATTTTACCTGCGTCCATACATGTGCTCTATAAGCAGACATCAATTATGCGAAATATTGTATATGCTATATTATTACCAATAAGTATATTGTATGTATGGTGTTGTATTAATTTATAAGTGAAGTACATATTTATTCAGAACTAAGATAGTCTCATTTCTATTCATTCTCTTACAAGTAAACACAAAGCTTAGAAGGAGCAGATAATTTAAACTCATCAATATTTTAAAATTACATGCAGCATATTGTGTTGAAGCGGTGATTATTGTTCCTCTATATGTAAATTTTAGAAAGCTTCCATCAACAACGACGATTGGTTTGCAATACTCCCACCCTTTGATCGATACATAAATAGCTACAAATAAATACAAGAATGATCCATCATCAGTTTTCTCTAATCTATATACAGACCCGAGATTTGTATGCATCAACATATAAAGGTAGTTAGGAAGCTCTCCATATGATTTGCTTGAGTTCCCTCGCACCATTTCAAGCACCTTTTCCTTCGATCTCCAAGCTTTCATATAATTCACGTCGAAACCATGAATTTTTTTCATGTCACGCCTTACATATGCTGGAGTATACACAGTCTTCGGATCAACATACTTATCTTGTATAAGATATCCTATGAAATCTGATGTAGCGTCACGTTGAGTATACATTCGTTCTTCGACCCTACAATTGTGAATATTATTGAACTTCCTCACTTTGAATATCTTAGTTTTGTTCAGTCTGGAAGATACAAAATTCCAATTACACATGTCGTCTACACATACGAGACAATACCTGTTCAAAGAAAAATATGATATATTGAATATGAAAACATTATATTTTATACCTATAAGAAATATAATATATACAACAACTTAACATGTAATACTTTTATACTAATTCTATCTAAATAATACACGCATACATATTTTCAATATAGTATATACATGTTTTAACATTTCAGTATTGCAAGGAACAAATTTATATAACAATACTAAATATACCTTTTTGTACAGGAACTCTGAACTGAAAATTCTCACGGATTGCGCAGTGTTTCATAACACTTATAAGGGTTTCTTTGTCTTGGTACAACTGACCTTCTTCGATGTTTTGATTTGATGGGTCTCAAATTATATTATGTTGAGCTTCATCTATGCCGTCGAAGTCTTTCCCATTACATATCACCCTTATTGCTCCATTTTCCAGCAAATCTGGTATATTTAAATCATTTACGCGATGTGATGATGTCGCAGAACTGTTTGCTTTCACATATTCTCTGTCGACTACATTGTCCTTGAATGTTATGCATAGCAGATACGAAGTGATCTCTGCCTTTTTCATCTTTAAATCTATATACAATTATAAATTCATGTCGTTTGATATGGAAATTGGTGGATACCCTTCCCGAACAATGTACTTAATTTCAATCAACTTTGTACAAGTCTCACCTTTGATCTGCTTCGATATTGTCGTGATCAACCCTTCAAAATTGCAGCTCGAATTGATCAAAATCCCTTCAGCATCAAATTTAACATATCTGCGATTGTCTTGCCAAACTCCATTGTATTGAATCAGAATTGATACATTCACCATTGTTTGTTAGAGTACAATATCCTACCTTAAGTATACAAAGATGGAGATTCAGGGAGAGACGATGCAAGAATCGATAATTTCCATACCAACTACGGCTATTACCTATTTTTAGGGAATATGGAGCGTTTGTTAAGAGGTAGTGTTGTAGTGGTAACCTAATATGTTTATATTGATAATTAATAATTAACAAATTAGAGAATATTTAGGGCCTAAATATACGTTTCAGATTACTATACCCCTGGAAAAATTTCATACGTTACTTAAAGGATTTGATGACATTCCCCTTAAATAGGGATAATTACCATATGTTTAGAGTATATTTATAACATATGTGTTGTACAATTTGTAATTCAAAACCAAGTTGTATATTATGGAATATTTTACAAATCCTTAAGTAACTATGAAAATTTCCCTATGATCATCTTACTTTCCAGAATGGGTTGGGCTGAAGAGAGTACTGCGCAAGTTAGGATAATCTTGGTAAATAGCGACTTTTTAGGTCGGCTATTTGAGTTTAGTCATATTTTAAATTGTCTTGGTAAGTAGCCACTTATTAATGTAGAAATACAAGTCTGGACAAAAATACCCCTATCTAAAACACGGAACAACTTCAGGAACGACTACTGCACTTTGAATACTTACAAGTTCAAAATCAGAAATTGTTCCTGGAGTTTGAATGACCTGAAGCAGTAGCTCTCAATTGTTGACGTATAATAAATTCAAAAAACATGAATCATTCTTGGATTTGTTTCTGAATTTTGCACTATTAAAATTTCAAAATCAGTAATAGTTTCTAAATTTTGTATTTAAAGGTTAAAAATTATTGAAGTGTAATGTGAATTCAAAAATCATGAATCATTTGCACTAGTAAAGTTTAAAAAATAAGCAATTTTTCTGGATTTTGTGTTTAAAGGTTAGAAATTGCTGAAGTATAATGTAAATTCAAAAATCATGAATCGTTCCTCGATTTTGTAACGACCCGTCGGTTGCTTTGAGCTTTAGTATTTCATTCGGTAGTTTGAGACTTTGAGTAGCTTCAAATGATGTATTATGAGTTGCGTGTATAGTCGGTTTTGGTTTTCGAGTAGTTGGAGATTGATTTGGAAGAATGAATCTCGATTTGGAAGCTTTAAGTTGGATGATATGACCAAGGTTTGACTTTTGGGTAAACGGTCTCGGATTCATATTTTGATGGTTCCGATGGGTTCTTATGGTGATTTTTGACTTTGGTGCATGTTCGGATTTGGATTTGAAGGTTCCTAGGTTGATTCGACACTATTTACCGAAAATTGGCAATTTGAAAAACTTAAAAGTTAATAATTTTGACCAAGAGTTGACTTTGTTGTTATTGGACTCCAATTGGTGATATGAGACTTTGGATAGGTTTATATAGTTGAGTTGAACTTGTGTGCAAAGTCTGCAAGTAATCCGAAGGGTGTAAGTTTGATTCGGACACTCTTTTGAAGGAATGGAGATTTAACAACTTAAGAGAAATTCTATTCGGTGTGAGCCTCGATTCTGTGTTATGATGTTCTCGTGGCTTTTTTGAGCGTTTGGATAATGTATTTGTACTTGTTGGATGGGGTTCCGAGGGACTCGAGTGTGTTTTGGATCATATGTTGAGAGACTAGTTAAGTTAAGGATTTGGAGTTTGGCCACAGTCAATATCAAGTCAAAACGACCTCTTTTCGGTGTTCACGAGCAGTTTCATAGCGTATTTTATGATTGAAATGCATATATAATTTGTGTCCGGGAGGTTCCGAATGAGTTTTGAGTGCTAAAACGAAGATTTTATAATTGCTAATTTTCTAGTACAACAATTCCAAAAATAACAATTATACCCCTGAAATTTTCAAACGTCCTTGAAAATTTCAAAACGTCATATCTCCCTCATTTTAAGGCAAAATTGGGTAATTAAAAAGGCTATCTTGAGTGTAATCTCACAAGGAGTATATTGGGCTTATCAAATGTGAGTTTCAGGATCAACTAGGATCTAATTCGGGCTGGGACATCTGCTGTATTATTTTTTACTTGTTTCAATATTTAGTTACTTTTTCTCACAAGGTTTTGGAGTTCGGGAAGAAGCAATTTTTTGTAGAATTTCATCTACTTCATTGGGGTAAGTAAACATAACTTGAATTTATGATTATAATATAAATCTATCTTTGATGTTGGCTCTAAATCAAGGAATCTTAAAGAAGAAAAGATGGTTTTGGCTTAAAAGATAAGAAAGTGCATTTTGAGGGTTTTGGGAAAACCTTTCTAAAGTGAAAAATAGAGATTTGAACTCCGATTTGGATCCGGGTTTGGATGAAACTTGTATATTTGGACTCGTATTCGAATGGATGATCGGGATTTGTAACTTTAATCGAGTTCCGGGAAGCGGGCTCGGGCTGACCTTTTGATTGACTTTGAGTATTTGATTAAGGATTCGACCTTTATCTTTTGGGTTTGATTTCTATGGCATTATTTGATGTTATTGAGTTGTTTTTGGCAAGATTCGAGCCGTTTGGATGTTTATTTGTACGGGAAGGCATTATTAGAGTATTGAGTTGACTTGTTTGAGGTAAGCGTCTTGCCTAGCTTTGGTTGAGAGATTTTTTTCTAAGAATTGGTATTATTTTCTATATGCGGAGATGATGTATATATGAGGTGATGAGTGTATATACATGTGCCATGGATATCCATGCCCG